GGCGGATGCGCAAAGGGCACACATTGGAGCGCAGCCAGGGCCACCAATTGATGCCATCCTGAGCCCTTAACAATGGGTGGAAAGGAAGGCTGCCTTTGCTGCACTCCATTCCATGCCCCTTCACGCGCCCTCTCGTTTGCATGGACAACGGCTGTATCCAGATGACTAGCTTGATTCGAATGTTCAATATCAGTATGAGACTTCAACAGTTTTTAGCATATCCAAAAAGAACCTAGTTCTGAAAAGTAATTGCAAAAGGCATAGAGGCAGAGATTTCTCACCTCTGGTTTTATCTTTTATTCACATGTTTATCCGCAACTATAACCAGATTCGTGTACTGTGATAGGAAAAACTAAATCACTAAATTTTTATCACTTTGATTGAGACGGACAAAGATAGCTCTACAGAGATTACATTTCACTGTCAACATTTGAGGTATTCGAAAGCTTTTGATTACGATGTTCCTCCCAACATTAACAGACAAGCAGCGGTCGAGCGCGCTGCTCTCGAGGAGTTCCTGGAACGGTTAGTGTGGAAACACAATAATTTCGCTAATTACCGCTTATTTCTCGCTTATGTGTTGTTCATGAGGTTTTTCAGGGTGTCTATGTTGATTCGACGTCTTCGTCTGATTATGCCGCCAACTACGCAGGTAGTATTACTGACGGTCACCAGCTAAGGTTGCTTACAGAATAACTGATTCCAGGTGATTTGGATAAACATGCCCTGGCCTGTTCCCTCGGATACGCGGTCGATTTTGAACAGAGTTGATAACAGTGACACAAAGCATCTCAACCGGTAAGGGTCGCATATGCAACGATTTTCCGCAGGACACCTGCCGCAGTGGAGAATTTTTAAAAACACGACCTCCCCCTATTTCCTTGTCTAGTGCTCTCCAGTTTCCCCATCCCCATTCTGCCTAGAACTTTCCTAAATTCTTCAGCTTCCTACCACTTTTTTCCGAAATACCCCGAAAATTGCTCACTTTCTCAAACAACTCCGGGAGGGAAGGGGAAGGCGGGTATATAGCACATGTGGAACGGGTGTGAACGGCAAAAGCGGAAAATTCGACTGCATCAAAGAAATTTCTTGTTTACGGGAGAAGTTTTGTGAAGGCCAGATACTTATCCATCCACCAGCCCCCTCCTCCCTCCAGTCGAAGCGACGAGCAGATAATCCCTATACACATCCTCATGGGTGTCTCCCAAGCCTGACAGTATAGGCCACGCACGCGTGAATCAGTCGGAAAATGAGTCTTCAAAAGGAATTTCTCATGCCAAAACAACCACTCTCCCTGCAACCGCCAAATGCGACCCCTCATTAGGACTTCATCGGCTCACGAATCCTCTGGCTTGTAGAATCAGAGTAACTAGAAGTTCCGATTACCTGGATGCTGCACACTGCTAGAGATCGTTCCTTCTTAGGGAGGGTGGTTCCGTTTTGTGCGAATTCGTCTCAGGGCACTTGTCAACCCCTCTTCTCTTTCCTTTTTTCTTCCTCCTTCCTTCTTTTCCTTCCTCCCTTCTCTGATCCCTCCTCCTTTACCTTCTCCCTTGAACTACTGGACTGGTAGATGCCTCGAGAAAATATCCCTGGACCCTTGCAGCAGGAGCACGTCTGGTTGACACTCATTTCGGCCTGCGTTCCTGGATCTGTCAGGTGTCTAACGCTGCTACGCTCGTTCGCCTTCCTCATTCCGGGGTATGAGCATCAGAAGAGCATGGCTGATAAAAGAAGCAAGTTACTAGTCCGACAAATCATTCAGAGAATCACGAGCCATTTTTTCAGAATGATGATTGTGGATGCTAATTACCGTGCCTCGCAATTGTTCCGCGCAGCTGGCTATGATGTGCTTGATATCGGCTTCTACATGCGAAATCACGCACTCTACGCATATCGCGTGTCAGTGCCCTACCCTCTTTTTGCAAACTTTCTTTGTTCATTTTGTCGAAGATATATTTTTTTTCAGGAAAGACGGTGTTCATTGGGACTGTATAGGAACGCGTATTATGACACAGCTGGTCATTGGACATTTAGCACGTTCGTGGAATATTCCTCTTCCTGCTAGGATTAAGGATAAGCTCACCAAATTGTGAGTATGGGCCATCGTTCTTATGAGAAGAGCATGCATTCCAAGTTTCGAGTTTTTTTTTTGTTTTCTGTTAAAGTATGGTTTGCATCGATTTGTTCATTTTTCATGCATGACATCTGAGTCTCCATGTTTAGCGTGAGTGATGCGTTCACATTCGATATTGACAAGAGTTGGGCAGCCTACACATTGATGGGTTTTGATATGTCAACAATTTCTAAGCACAGTTCTGAAAATGTGTCCTTTCCTGAGGCTATACAGGTTCATTTTGTTTGAAACAGATCAGTTCCTCACTTCGGAAAGAATGTTCCGATTCCAGAGAAGAATCCGAGCTGGTGTTCTTCAACATATCAAGGAAGTGAAGCCGGAGTGAGTTTCATGACCTTTCAGCAATGTAAGGAAACTTCTACAAAACTCGAGTTGAGAGTTTGGACTTACAAGAGACCGAATCTTATTCAAAAGATGGACTCTCAAATGCCGCTGTTTTTGGATGCTCACCTGATTGCAGAACAGCATAAGGCGTCTCCGCTGCGGAAATGTCTCGTGTTAGGATGAACAGCATAAGGCGTCTCCGCTGCGGAAATAAATGTCTCGTGTTAGGAGATCACCGTCGGTGGCGACGCTTAGAAGACAGAGCAGCGCTCGGCAGAACCCGCCGTACGTGGTCCTTGTGGACAGCCGCAGCTACCTCCATGCATGTAACAGGCGCGATATCCGTAGGACCCTGTTGCCCACTCTGCATTGTGAACCTCACTTGTTCGGCTAGAATTTGTAGGAACTCCAGTGGATACGGTTGATACCCTTTGCTCAGTCGCTCAGCTAAATGTCTCTTGGCTGACGAAGAAGTGTTACACGTCTTGGCACTGTTTCATTCTGTGTTTCTGTCACTTCATGCAAGGGGTTTTGAATGCGCGTGCGTGCGTAAATTTCAAACTTAATAATAGAATATGACTTTTTCGTTTATGAGTTATCGGAAATTTCTCACCCCAGGCAATATCCAGACTGCACTTTGCACCACTTTGCACTTCACTCTTCTCGGGCAAGTGCTGCATCCGCCACCAAGGCCACCTCTCACCCTCTCACTAAGGGAAGAACCCGCGTTGAAGCGGCCATCTGTGATGAAATCTACATCATCAGATGCTTTTCTATCGCCTTCGTCCTATCTGCTTTCGAAAATCACCGAGCTCCTCTCTGGACGGGGTTGAGGACTTTGTTCCTCACGTTGTCCTACATTTCGTCGCATGAAAGGGTACTTATATTGGTGTGTGGGGGACAGGCAAAATTTTTGCAAGTTTGGCCTCTTCCCGAATTTCCTTCCGTACGACCATTTTCCACACCCTCATTCTACCTGCCATGTTACTGGCTTCACGCAAATTACTTCCGTTTTTTGCAGTATCCCCTGAAAAATTTCAGTTTTTCTCCAAAAAAACTCTTCGAGCGGGGAAGTGGA